TCTGATTGATACCGTGTCTTTATACTGGTGTGCAGACATCTAGGTATTCTGGTTTAGGATGATTGTAATTCTAGGTGCTCATATCTCATCTTGTTTTTGCTGAATGGGTGTTCCGTTTCTTGGTTTCTGTTGCCCTTTCTGTTTCTTAGGAGAGGGTGATGGCTGTGAGTTGCCGGGTAGGAAATGCTTCTGCGATTCTGCCAGGTGTGGCCACTGGGGTTCTGGGTAGATTGTTTCTCTAGGTATTGGTTTCCAAGAAGAATGTATTTCTGGGTTTGGGTTCCAGGTAGAATGCTTTTCTAGGTACCGGGTGTTGATAGTAATGAGGATGAGCTAGGACTGGAGGGTTAGGGAGTCCAGAGGATGAAGCAAAGCAAGGTGTGCCACCAGGATCTGCTTAGTCCCTGGGGAATGGGGGCAGAGAAGGAGGCCACAGCAGGCAGTCTGAGATGACAATGGGAGACTGGCTTTGGGGGTAGGAGGGAGACTGAAGACCTAAAGATCACCTACCCTGTAATGGGTTCCTGGAGTCGGTGACTGAGACAAAGGGATGGGGTGGTAGAGAAGTATGTAGGAGAAAAATCCAAGTGATTCCCTGGAGATGGGAGCAGAGAGGAAGGGAGACCAGAGCGGGTGGTCTGCTGCAGAACTGGGGATGAGACTGGGGGATTGAATTTGGAGGAGAGAAGGAGGAGTGAAGGTCTGGGGATTGCCTACCTGTTCCCCTAGTGACCAGCTTCCCTCTGGTAAGAGGGATTTATGCCTTGTAATGTATTTGTGACTTGTGAGGTTATAGGTTCTGTAGAGGAGCATACCATTGCCACTCTCCTAAACCAAGTATAAGTCCAACTACATTCTAAATATTTATTCTTTCCTGAATACTTATTCTTTTTTTAGTGTTTTTTCTTATTTATTGTTTTTGTTGAGCTATATTTTTTCTTCACTCTTCTGCCTTCCTCTCCCCTCCCCTTCTGCCCTCTCCCAGGGTCCCCATGCTCCCAATTTACTTGTCTTTTTCTACTTCCTATGTAGACTATATCCATGTATGTCCCTCTTAGGATCCTCTTTGTAGTCTAGGTTCTCTGGAATTGTGAATTAAATGCTCATTCTTATATACACAGATAAGTATGACTCTTAGCCCTCATCAAAAATGGAAACTATTACAGAAATCCATAACTGGTCAGAATGCAAAACAAACAAACCAAAACCCGAAAAAGAGACTGTGGGGCACCCAAGCCAGGTGTTATTTCTACAATGCAACCATTATACTCAAGACTCAGGTTATACTGTAGATATTTAAGATACAGAGGACTAGGATGCCTTCTGTGAGATTGTGTCTTCTGTACATGAAAATCTCAACAATGTGATCACCTAAACAGGACCTGCTTAAGGACATCTCCAGGTAACACTGCAGTACAGATGAGGGATACTTCACATAGTCCCAAGCCTAGATGAAAAGCCATGGCTTCTTAGAAAGGGAGAATCATTCTTCTCCAGCACTGAGCCAACTGATAAATTATATAATCCCAAACAGTCAGTCATAAACACATATACGTATGAACAACACTAAGTGAACTCATCAGGTTATACACATACAAATAGGTATATATAGGTAAAAGCAATAACATGAACAAAAGAAGTCAGTTATTTAAGGGGACACAGGAGAGAGGAATGACGTAAATACAGTACTCATGTATAAAATTTTAAAAAAAAAGCTTAAATAAAAGAAAAGAAAGTGCCAGGAATAGCTTATGCTTAAGAACACACTGGAGGACTTACATGACTAGCCACATACCACAGCCTGTGTAACACTCTGCACTTAATACATAGTCACTGGGGGACTGGAAAGATAGCTCAGAGGTTAAGAACAGTAGCTGCTCTTCCAAAGGTCCTGAGTTCAATTCCCAGCAACCACGTGGTGGACTCACAATCATTTATAATGGGATCTGATGCCCTCTTCTGGCATACAGGCATACGTGCAGACAGATCACTCATATGTTTAAAAAAAAAAAAAAGAATGCTTGGCAAGCCACAATCACTGACACAGTGATAAGCAAACTGACCCGTGGAACTAGAGTCCAAAAATACACTCATATGAGTCTGTCACCTGGCATTTGACAGAAACCACAACAAAGACCAGCGAGGAAGGGAAGATAGTTTTACAAATGTTGCTCAGTCAACTGAATATGCACATCCCTACAGAAAATCAATTTATAAAGAAATTTATAAATCAATTTATAAATAGAAAACCTTGACTAATTAAAGGAGGGTTTGCTTGACAAACTCATGTATATTAAATTTATAAACTTTTGTTGATTAAAAGACAATATTTAAGAAAATTATCTGAGACAACATATATCCAAAGAATGACATCCAAAAGAAAGAACTTCTGGAAGTGAGTGAGAGAGAGTCAGGAGCTTACATTCTAATAGGCTCCTGGTAGGATGTCAGTCAGTTCAAAAGCTTTGCAAAACCTGGGTGGCTTCTGTGTCCCAGCAACTCTGCTTCTACAGACGCACAAGGTAGAACTGTGTCCCCTTGCTTTTCCTTTTTAAATTGAATGCTGGTTACCTAAGAAACATTTGCTATGGGCGATCCCTTAGGCAGTGTTCTTAGGACCTACGACATTAAAAAAAATTGCAGCCTTACAGCATATAACTTATGTTTTTGGTTCCTGAAAATTACAAATTATGGCTTGTGTTTCTTTTTTCGTTTTTCGATTTATTTTTTTCTTTTGTGTGTAGGAGTGTTTTGTCTGCATGTGTGTACGATGTATGGGTCTGGTTCCCATAGAGGCCAGAAGAAGTCGTAGGATCCCTGAAACTGAAGTTACCAGTGTTGAGAGTCACCATGTGGGTTTTGGGAACTAGCCCTGGTCCTCTGCAAAAGGAACAAGTGCTCTGAACCACTGAGCCTTTCTCCGGTTCAGTTTGCATTTCTTGTTCTTGGAGTTTGGATCTCTCCCTACATTAAGTTTAAAACCATTATAGCAATAAGTTTCAAATCCTCTGTGTATTTGTTGCCTAACATAGAATGAGTTTTAATACTGATTACTTTAATAACAGAATTCTTGGAATTAAAACCCGTCTCCACTCTTACTGTGTGACACTGGGAAAATGTTGAGCACTTCATGCCTCCTTTCCTTCATTGTAATGATGACGCTAACAACAGCACCTACTTTCAATACAGAGGACTTGGTGCAGCTGCAGCCACACTGTAAGAGTTCGCCAGTTTTTATTAACATCACGATTGCTTCATAAATACTTAAAGAGCACTGTGCAAATCTGAGTGATGGTTTCCAGAGATTAAAGATTGAAGAGGGAGAAGATGTGGAATTAAGAGCCCATAACACTCAGGGCAATGACACACAGCCCAAGCATGCCCAGTTATAAATGTCTGTTACTGATGTATCCGAGAGGGGACTAAAGAAGCTTATTTCTCTGGTAGATGAGAACTGAGTTTCCATCTAAATGATGGGTAGAAAACCTTATATGTGGTTACATTCAGAATGAAGGTTTGATTGGTACTCTAGAAAGAGATTTACTAGTAATGGCTAGGGAGTCTGAAGAGGAGAAACCAAGAGGTCAAAAAAATACAGTCAAGCCGGGAGGTAGTGACAGATGCCTTTAATCCCAGCACTCAGAGAGACAGAGGCAGGTGAATCTTTGTGAGTTTGAGACCAGCCTGGTCTAAAGAGTGAATTTCAAGACAGCCAGAGATACACAGAGAAACCCTGTCTAGAAAAAACAAAACCCAAACAAACAAAAGCAAAAAGCAAACAAACAAACAAAAATCGATCACAGCCCTAAGAAGGGTGTGTGCTGTTAACAGCCCAGATAAACTAGAATTGTATGTAAAATTATTTTGTTGTTTCTCGGTTTGTTTTGTTTTAAATCATACTAAAACAAAAACCTCTAGATGACCATGAATAGGCTAACAATATAGATGCTCCGAAAATGTTAGGATCTGGTTTAACCCCAAGAACGGAATACTCATAAACAGAAGGAGAGAACCTGCTCCGAAGGAAAGTTGTCACCTATATGTGTGCTGTAGTTCGTGATGCCCACGCACACATACTACATACACACAAAATAATAAAAATAAAATAAAGCCGGGTGGTGGGGGCTCACGACTTTAATCTCAGCACTCAGGAGGCAGAGGCAGGCAGATCTCTGTGAGTTCGAGGCCAGCCTGATCTACAGAGCTAATTCCAGGACAGCTAGGGCTGTTACACAGAGAAACCCTGTCTCGAAAAACCAAAAAGTAAAATAAAATGCAAATTATTCGTCAACTCTATTCATAGCATATAAGCTTGTAACAAAACTACCAAGTTTATATGAATGCACTGTTGTCATGGTTTCAAAAATTTGGAAAGTCTTTGAAATCACTTTTTGAGAAATGAGAGTTGATTTGATATAAAGCCCCCTGATTCCACCACCTAAAAGATCCTAGGGCTCTTCTGAGATGCTCTCAGTGGGCTGAGACTGTTAGTATTCATGATCCCGCCTTATTTCTGGAACGTTCACAAAAGGAAAGCCAGCCACTAAATAATGAGTGTCTTTATTCTAAATATAGATTATTATGGGCTGGCTCCACAAGTCTTAGGGCTTCCAAGGTCTTTCTAAACCACAGAAGGGAGACCGCTACTCTGGAGCCTGGAAAACCTGGTAGTAGGAAAAAGTGGGAATCACTTTCCCAACAGGCACTCTAGAGCTTGGGACCCCTTGCTCCCCAAGGTCCGATCTCGGCACCCCCTCCCCGTCTCCTCCCCCCTCTCCTCCTCTGCCCCACGCGGCTGGAGTTGTGAGTCCCAGTCTTGCCCCACCCCTTCCGTAGCCCCGCCCACAGATGCTCTGTCCTCAATGGGCCCCGGGATAGAGGAGGCCAGGGGCGGGGCTCACCCCTTGCCCTCGGGTCTCCCAGGCTGCACCAATCAGAGAACGCCCTGTTGGCCATCCGCCGCTCCAGCGCCCCTCCCTCTCCCGCCGATCCCTGCGTCCCCAAATCCAAGATGGCGGGGTCCAGACGGAGCGGTTCCCAGGCTGGAGCGCGGCCGTTCCTTTGCGCCCTGCTGCTGTCTTTCAGCCGATTCGTCGGGAGCGATGGCACGGGAGGCGACGCTGCGGCCCCCGGCGCCGCGGGCACCCAAGCCGACTTGCCGCACCGCCGTTTCGAGTACAAATACAGCTTTAAAGGGCCGCATCTGGTGCAGAGCGATGGGACTGTGCCCTTCTGGGCCCACGCGGGGAGTAAGCTGGGGCCGGGCCGGGGGTCGGGGGCTGGGTTCCCTGCTTGCTTTCCGTTCATCTTCCCAATGCCCTGCCGGGCCGAGGGTCAGCTCCAGTTCTGCACGACCCATGCGCTGGGGCAGGACTCCCCAGGCAGCCCCTACTCCAGGTCCCCGGCTCGCAGGTCCCTCGCTCATCCTGAGTCTTCTCATCCAACTTGTCCACCCACTTCCCAATCTTCCCTTTCTTAATCTCATCAGCACTTTGTTTGATTCGGAGGTGTTTTGTTACTTTCTGTACTCAAACCAGCTTCTGGGTGTCACGTTACAATATACCCTGATGCCACGTCTCAAGGGTGCACTTTGCCTGGCCATAGCAATTGAGACCAGTTCCAGCAACCTTCTGCTTGCTTGTTTTAGGGAGTTAGCAATGACCAGGTTTGTACTTTATTTCCCGAATGCTCCAAGATACCATAGAGTCTTAGAGTGGTTTTTAGGTCTTTGGATGTCGTTCTTAAAGTGTTGGGGTTACACCATAGAATCGCCTCTCAGTTGACGGTGTGTGTGGTCTTTGATCTTCACACTATAAACTTTTGTTTAGTTAGTGCAGGAGACAGAGTTTCATATTGATGACTTTTGAACTTGGGACTAAGAATAGTCATAGCCTCTCAGAATGAGGTGGTTTCTGCCTCAGACTTTTTTCACTCTGACCCAGATGACAGAACTGTGACTGAGCACCGCTCAGTGAAACGAAAACGGGGACACACTTTTAGTGCTGATGTGTCACAGCTGACCGAATAGTATCAGTAGCATTTGTCCTCCCGTAAGCTCCTCGGTGACTACCCGATACATCCAAGTAGTAAATACTGTCTACTTTTGTGTGTAATTAAGGAATCATTTATAAAAGCCTTTTTTTTTATATGTCACGAGATTGTCCAGTGGCTGAAACAAAACGCTTCATTGCTAGAAAATAATTGCTAAATAGAAAGCACCCTTCCAGGAAAGGCCATTTCCCTCAAATTAATGTGCAATTACCAGGTGTAAATTTCATTGAACTTAATGACCAAGTCATTATGTAGTTGAAACAGGGTGCAATGCAATTATGCTGTTACTCAGTTTGTTTATTATAAGCCTTCTGGGCTCGTGGTATTGTGATAACATCGCCCCGCGTACACAAAGATGATGGGTCATGATTCCAAGCACAGGTTTTCAGATCTTTTGTTTGTGTTTTTAAGACTTTTGGAAATGGCGGTGAATTGGTGGGCGCCTCTCTGCCACCTGTCTGCTGTTCTCCGTCTTTTCCACCGCAGACACGCATCAGCAAATGCAGAGTGGTAATCAGCTACTGAAATTAGTTATCATCACTCTTTCACAGAGCCACAAGCAACAGATCTAGTCTCCTGTGAAAGAGGTCAGGATAAGGGCTGGAGCTGTAGCCTCATCGGTAGGATGCTAAGCCGGCATGCAGCAAGCCCTGGGTTCAATCCGCAGCACCCCATAAGCCGGGTGTAGTGGTTCACACTTGATCCCAGTGCCAACTGCATTGGGGGTGGAAGCAAGAAGATCAGAAGTTCAAGGTCATCCGTGGCTGAAAGACAGGGTGTACAAGGGGAGGGTGCTCTCTGTTGTATCCCAATGCATGTGTGTGGCCAAAGTATTTTACTGTTTCAGTCATGACTTGATCTGTTTACTGACTTTGACACTCAGTGGTATGTGGAAATCCATTGCTTTCATGGTTACTGTAATTTTTCATCTTACTCTATTAATGCTGTTGGTCATTTTTCTCCCTTCTCATTTCTTCTTGCAATCTATCATTTGAAACGAGAAAAATGAAGAAACTTAGGATTTAGTTTAAACACAGCCCATTACATTCAGCCCTAATTAGGATTACCTATTTCTCTTTTTCAAATCTTAGTCCTTTTGTACTGTCGGTACATATCCTTAGGTTCACAAGGGCAAGAAATGCTAATAATCTGGAACTGTTCATAACTCTCAAAGCTCTCCCCTTCATTCTTCTATTTGAGCTGTAGTAGGCAGCCAGGCACCTCCTGTATAGATGGAGCAAGAACTACAGAGAGACGAAGGTTCTGGGACATTTTCTCAAATCTTCCGTTTCTCTGTGCAGGCCTTTTCCATAGTGTTCTCCCCACCTTGTGAGTGTTTGAGCCAGAGAGTCCACTAAAGTATCCTAGCTCTCTTTTCCTCCCTACAAAGTGGAGTCCTCACAGTCAGAACGGTTACAGTCTGAAAGAGTATGTTAGAATTGTTCTACATGTAGGCCTTTGCACGTACCTTGTTAATTAGTAAGAGGATTGAAGGATTTATAGGCATGTTTGGTTTTTTGTGGTTCAGTTTATTGGCTTTTGCAGAGCCTGGGTTTGATCTTTTACAGACTGGGTGTGCTCAGCAGTCTGTCCATCCATGCTGCTTGCCCGGTGTCACCAGATGAGCCTTAGCGGTTCCTGTCAGTGACATTGTTGGTTTTGTTTTCTGGCTCTGAGGTCCCAGGAGTCAAACACAGAGCCCATGAGTGATAAGACGTGCTTTTTCACCGATCCATGTGCCAACTCCTTCATGTATTTTAAAATTGAAGCCTGCTTATTGTTGTTTTAAATATGATACTATTGCACACTCAGTATATTGTATAGATTTAACTTTTAGATGATCTGGAAAACCCCCAAAGTTGCTTGCCTTGCTTTGCTGTGATTGTTTGAAACCGAGCCAGCTATATCCCTGTGCTGTACCTACGTGTACATTCTTATGCATTGTGTACCAATGACACGCTCAAGATCCGGCAGCCACAAGTGCCTGGCCTGGGACTTGAGCTGGCTACTCTTGAGAATTCCTTGTTTTCTCTGAGAGTCCACCATAGTTAAAAAATTGCTTTAGTTAGTTGTCCCTCTTCCTAGGAAAATGTATATATGCAGGATATTTTGCATATGATTTTGCAATGTTTAGAGCAGTTGTCAGGCCTGCCCCTTTCATTTTTCAGATGAACATAAATGATGAAACTAATAGAATATGGAATGATTCATTCAAAATCACAGCTGAACTTGATCCCTAGTGTTGGTTCTTACGGTTTTTTTCTAATGTTATGACTGTATTTATACAGTTTGTAGTATATAACTGGTGAAACATGTGGACTTTTAATATTGGGGAAATTTTTGTTAAAAATAGATTGGGAAAATCAAGTAAACAGCTTTCCTATTTATTAAAAATTCATACAATATATTCTGACCACTGTTTACCCTCCCTAGATCCTCCTCACCTCCTTACCCATCCATCTCTGTGCCCTTTCTCTCTTTAGAAAACTAATCAGAAAACATAAACCAGAATTTAAAAAAAAAAGAAAAACACAAAAAGAATAAAAAAAATCACAAGAAACATATACACAGAAACAAAACCCATAAAAACATAAAATTGGAAACCATAATATAAAAGCAAAAGTTTGAAGTCTTGGTCTCTGGGACTTTTACTGTGTAATATGGGGATGTAGGTTTGCAGATGCATTTCTCTGTTCAAAGACAGAAAAGATATTGCTCCCTTAACATTTCAAAGTCATACTGTCAGCCTGAAACTATGTCTAACAAATATTCTTGTGTACAATAAGAAGGTAAAATTTCTTCTTTGTAGCTATAGATAGCAACTCAGCGGTGAGTGTTGAATTCTGCGTAATTATAACTGAAAGCTCTCCTTTTCTCATTTTTGCCGTAGATGCTATTCCAAGTTCAGATCAGATTCGAATAGCACCATCATTAAAAAGCCAGCGAGGTTCGGTGTGGACAAAAACGAAAGCAGCCTTCGAGAACTGGGAGGTGGAAGTGACATTTCGAGTGACCGGAAGAGGTCGAATTGGAGCTGATGGCCTAGTATGCCCGTTTCTGTTGCTTGAGCCAGTCTGGCTGCACAAACCACTGGTTCCTAACTGTTCCCTCTTACGTATTTTCAGGCAATTTGGTATACAGAAAATCAAGGTTTGGACGGCCCTGTGTTTGGATCAGCTGATACGTGGAATGGTGTTGGAGTGTTTTTTGATTCTTTTGACAATGATGGAAAGGTATATTTTTTTGTTAAAACTGTAGCCATTTTCCGTTTAATGTATTTTAGCAGAGTTAGGCTGTGGGAAGGTAGCTTGCCTGACACCTTAAATTTAATAATGAAGAACGTGGCTGATAGTCTGAGCATGGTCGTTAGTCTTGGTAGCAGAGAATCTCACACTGAAAGCTGTGCAGACACGGTTTTTCCCACACTAATTTACAGACGTAGCTCTGAGGACCTGTCAGTGATTCACACCCTGTGTGTGCTTAGTAAATGAAAAAACCAGCATGAATCTTTAGACGTGGGCAGTGAAGCCTTGGCGGTACTCGGGTGCTGGGCACGATGACCCTCACCCTCAGCTCTCCTGTGTTAATGACTTTTTGGTCAGGCCGTTCTGATGACATCTGAAAAGCAAAACATACTTAGATGCTGAAGCATTAACTTGTGGCTTGGACGCTTTCAGGCTGGTGGTCTTCCCTTTGGCTTGTTGTTACTGATTTCCAGAGATTGCTGTCAGCAATTTAAAGAAATTTTGATGATGCATTGAAAGCTTAGGCCACACTATTTCAGAAGTTTAAGAGTCCTGGAATCTTAGCAGATGAGTTTTCATAGCACATGAAGAATGATGAAATTTTCTATGAAACATACTAAAATATTTTCTCTTTATTTTTTAGAAAAATAATCCTGCTATAGTAGTTATAGGCAACAATGGACAAATTAATTATGACCATCAAAAGTAAGTGGGATTTTGCCTTGTTTCTCATTTCAGCTTTTCTTTGGCAACCTCATGAAATACATTGCTTCAAATCTCAGCACACTCCAAACAAAATAAGATGGTTTTTTTTCTTGAACTGTTATATTGTAACTCACTGAAAAGTTCTACTTTTCCTTTCCTGTCTTGAAGTTTTTTTCTGTGAGCCAACCTTTCCATGTTTATTGAAAGAGATCTTTCAAAAAATAAATTTAGCTTTCACCCAACTAATGAGTCCCCAGTCATTAAATGTGTCACCGCTTTCAACACTAATGTCACTTTACGACTGTCCATGCGTTACAGTGTTCCAGGTGTTGAGTGGAAGAAAATTTCTTGCCCACGCCTGGCTTTGCCCTCTCCTATCTCGGTGGCTGCTATGGTGGTGGTTCTTTGCCATCCCTGGTGGACTGGTTTAAACTAGAAGTGCCTGGCTTGTTCCTTTAGATTCAGCTTCAGCTGGCTTGGGTGAAAGTGAGACTCCAGGAATGACTGGGGATGTAGCTAAGTTGTAGATCCCTTGCCTAGCATGTGTGAGACTCTAGGTCCAGTTCCCAATACCACAAAAATAAACTATGAAATCCCCAAGTGATTTGAATGCTGTCCTCTCTCCTAGTAACACATCCTCCTCCCTTCAGCACCCAGTGGCCTTGGGACTTCCAGTGTCTCCAGAGTTCTGACAGGAAAGGCCTTTCTGTCTGCTAACTGATAGGAGCCATCATAAGCTTCATTGTAACTGATATTTTTGAGTCTTCCTAAATCTTAAATACTAAAAGCCTTCCTTTCTTCTCCCTCCACCTGCAGTGATGGTGCCTCTCAAGCTTTAGCAAGTTGTCAGAGGGACTTTCGTAATAAACCCTATCCTGTCCGGGCAAAAATTACCTACTACCAGAAAACGCTGACGGTGAGTGACAGTAACCGATAAGTAACACTCTAGCATGACTTTTCTTTTGAATTCCTGACAGAAGTTAATGTACTTAAACATGGGTATCCGCACATCTGTATGCGTTGCCCTGAGAACAGAGTTAAGTTTGTCATCTGGTGTATGTTATTTCCTGTAGTGAGCTTTGTCAGTAAGTTTGTTTGTTCAGAGGAGATTTAAGCACCAGCTCGAAGATACCGTAAGCACATAGCCAAGTCTTCAGGATACCAATATGAGTAAGACAAAGACCTTTCTCCTTGAAGAGCTTGCAGGCCCTCGAGGAAACTAGCGTCACTGTGCTGTGTGACAAGGGCTGAGGAATTGAGATAGTGTTAAGGAATTGTGACCTTGGAACCTGGACCCTGAGAAATGACCCTGGGAAAAGTCCAGAAGTGGTTCAGTTGAGATGCACCTCAGAGCAGGACCGGGGATGTGTGTATGTTCCCGGCACAGAAAGCAGATAGGGTCTCTAAGAAGCTGAACATTTAAGAGAGCTTGTAGTTTGCTGAAGTGTGAAGACAGAGACATCCCGGAAGTGGGGTGGAAGGCCTGACAGTGACCCTCCTGTGAGGAAGCTTTAAGAGAGCTGGTGTTCTCAGCAGGAAGTGGAATTGTGGTGTAGGCAGTTTTAACCAGTCACTTAGCCTGGCGCATTGTGCTTTAAATGCAGCTTTGCAAAGGGCTAGGCTCTCTGGAGAAACTGAACATGGGAGGTTTTAAGTAACTCAGACAGACTACAGTTTGAACAGCTCCGCCCTACCCACAGGGCTCCACTCACTACCAGACCTGAGGTGCCTAAAGGAAGACAGAGGAGAGATGAGCAGCACTGTCATATGCTAACCGGAGCTTTGAACTCCTGCTGTGACCTCTTCAGAATGACCATGACCCCTAAGGCTCTGCGAGAGAGGAACTTACTTCACTGTAGAAAGATTGTTAAACTATCAACATTTTCTCTTTTTGAGTCTTTGACAAATGATGGGTTAAAAAAATTAAGTGAATGCTCTTACTGTGTAATGGTGGTTAGTAAGTGAGTTTATCGCAAATTATCCTTTGTAGGGCTGGGGAGTGGATAAAGTGTAAATCTGAGAGGCAGAGCTCAGATCCCAGGAAACTGTAAAAACTGAGAAGGGGTGTGGCCACCTGGAATCCCAGCACTCAAGAGCCAGGGCAAGATGGCTTGCTGGTCTAGACAATCACTGAGCTCTGGGATCAATGTAGGGACCCTGATTCAGTAAATAAAGGGGAAAGTGGTTGAGGAAGATACCCAGTGTCAACTTCAGCCTCCACATGCACACCCACATGCAAACACAAACACACAAAATATCCACATACAAAAAGAATTATAGCAATAGAAGGAAGCAAGAGTGAATATTATTAATTACAAAATGCTGAAATTTATTTTGAAATAATCTACAACTGTAGTATGTCTTCCCAGGTCATGATCAATAATGGCTTTACACCAGATAAAAATGATTATGAATTTTGTGCCAAAGTGGAAAATATGATTATCCCCCCACAAGGGCATTTTGGGATATCTGCGGCAACAGGAGGTCTTGCAGGTAAATCTCACTATCTTTTCATATTGAAAGCCTGTGAATGATTCTTACTGTTGATAGTATGTGTGAGGTATATTGACTCGATTCCATTTCACTTCTCCATCTCTTTGGAGCCTTCCCATGGCCCATTTTACCAGTCTTTGGCTGTGTTGGCTGCATGGATGTATGTAAATTACACCATTCATTTAGGCACATTTTGTAGTGAAGGGGACATATTTCAACTTGAGGATATAAATAGTTAATTCCTAAGTGTTTTAGGAACCTTAAAAATTGCTGTATCATATACAAGTGGCTTTGGAAACCCAAGGAAATATTATTTAGGGCAAACCTTAAATGAAAATAATTGCTGTTATTTTCCATGTATATTGATAAATGAAGCTCCTCCACACCAGTACTGCTTTGTACTCAATGACACATCACCATTTGAAATACTTCCCAAACTGTAGCTTGTTCTGTACAACCCAAGCAAAGAGGGAGAAGGTCTGGATCCCCATTTTTTTCAGGTGTTGCCAAGTTTCTCAGGGGTCACATAGTCACCGCCAGAAAGTCATGGTCTGGACTTGTGATTCCTGGCTGTTGAGCACATGATCTCTCCTCAGGTTATCCAGTCTGCAGTGCCTCAGACTCTGTTTACCCAGCTCCCCCTCAGAGCTCCCCAGGAAAGGCAGAAGGAGAAGGGTGCTGAGCACTTGGAATAAATCTCTCCACACCACAGTATGGACGCAGCTGCCAGGACTGGCACAGCAGTTCACTGCTGTGGGGTCCAGTCTCCCTGGACCTGCCTTTAGCTTAAACAACCTGGTATTAATTTGACTTTGCATGGTTTAGATAAAACAGAAGTATTATTATCTGCCAGCTGAGCAAAGCAAGTATGAAAGGGCAGCGCAGGTGTACGCCACAGGAAGGGCCCTGCACACAGGTGGACGGGGTTTGTGCACGTGGAGCAGGGCTTTTTCCATGCAGGAGCATCCTTCACTGTCAGACACTCCCCGTTCGCTCCAGTTAGACCCTGCTTCACTGCTGACCTGGGGTTGGTTTAGAGTAGTTCTGAAGTCAGGCTTTCATATATACCTGTCAAGTAAACTCACAACTATGAACAATTACTTACAGCATTTCTTGAAACTATTTTTTTAATTTGTAGATGACCATGATGTTCTTTCTTTCTTGACTTTCCAACTAACTGAGCCTGGAAAAGAGCCAGTAAGTACACTTTTTTGCAAGCAGTTAATTTCCAGTTTTCAGTGGTGTTGCCCAAACTGTGGGTTTTGAGTAGACTGATGTCAGTCTGGGTCCTGTATGAGTTCCTGCACCTCTGTAGCATGCTTGATGCTTGTTCAGTGGCAACTTCTGGATTTTGTCAGGATTAAGTGAGACCAGTGTGCATATAGTAAATGCTCACTGAGAGGCAGTCGTTACTGTGATTTTTGGTATTGTTAAAACCAAGAACAAATTAGCTGTAGTTTAGTAAGGGACAGCCTTCAAGCCAGTGATGCCATTGTGAGCTTGAGAAGGACAGATGCCAAATATCTTACCAGTTCCCTTCCCTATGACCTCTTCTTCCTCTGAAAAAGCCTACGCCAGAGAAAGACATCTCAGAAAAAGAAAAGGAAAAGTACCAAGAGGAGTTTGAGCACTTCCAGCAAGAACTGGACAAGAAGAAGGAGGAATTCCAGAAGGACCACCCTGACCTCCAGGGGCAGCCAGGTAAGTTGTGGCTGGGCCGGCTCTGCGGGGACACCTGGGTGTGTACTGTCTGCCTCATCTCTGCTGTCTCAGCACACTCAGAATTGCTGGGAACAGTGGGAAAGCAAGAGTCCCTCAGGGCCTGAGAGTGTGTGGCTTGTAAGGTGTGCATGAAGAGCGCCATAGCTTTGTGAGTGAGCATGAGCCCCTGGGTTGGAGCCGGTGAGGACGGCACTGACATATTCACCACTGTGTTCTGTGAACCAAACAAATGAAAAACAAGAGACAGTGCTGGTTTCCTGGGTGACTGCTAAGTAAAACTATTTAAAAAAGGTGGGGGGGGGGGGAGCTCTCTTTCTCCTTTCAGTGTTATACAATGGCTTTATTGAAAAGTTTGGACAGTTTTATGCATGTATACAATGTATTAGAAATATTGCTCCATTTCCTTTGTTACCTTCCTTTCCCTCTGAACACTTTCTTTCCAGCTAGTCCAGTAGTGACCATACCATTGAAGAAAATGACACCCTCTTTCCCAGTACCTTACCCTTACTACTGAGAATCCTGGACTTTAATGGATTACACTTTAAGTGCTAGTGTAAGCCAAAAAAATTGAGGCCTTATATGTTGTTACATTCTCAAAAATGAAACAGTGTCAAGGCCAAACAGACTGACTGCTAGTTTTATATCTGGTCTGTTCCCCAGCAGCATGAATGATAGAGACTACTTGGTAAAGCCTATGTCTAGCATTTGAACGCTGTGTGATGTTCAGTTCTCACAATTATCAGTGGTATGATAACTAGCATGTCATTTGTGACCGTAACCTGAAACTGCTTGAAGTAGGTGTACAGTTGGTTGTTTTCCACCTAAACATCACTGTCCATGCTTGGAATGTTTTTTTTCACCCCAGAAAGTTCTCTGATTCCGTAAACCCACCCTCCACATAGCCTGTCATTATTTTGATTTCTGTTACTCCTGGTTAGTTTTCCCTAGTAAAATTACACAATATATATAAAACAAAAAATTATTTTAAGTGAAAAGGTTCAAATAGTAATTTGTAATATTCATTTAATAATTACTAAAATAGTAATTTAGTTATGACTGAACTGTCGGAAGTTTGTACCCCGTGTTGGTAATGTTCTGGTTTTGGAATGTGTCAGTACTTGGCTTGTTAATGTTTCAAAGCTACAGGTGTGGAGGATTGTACTGACTAATTTGCAACTGCTTTACAGCAGATGACATATTCGAGAGCATAGGAGATCGCGAGCTCAGACAGGTCTTTGAGGGACAGAATCGTATCCATCTGGAAATCAAACAACTTAACAGACAGCTGGATATGATCCTTGATGAACAGAGGAGATACGTCTCTTCCCTGACAGAGGAGATCTCCAGGAGAGGAACAGGAACCCCAGGGCAGCCGGGACAGGTAAACTTTCCAACACAGCACCCCAGCCAGAGACAGAACAGTGCTGTGCTCACATGACCCATGGGTGCTAAGCTGCTTCGTCTTGCTTCCCTCCAGGTCTCTCAGCAGGAACTGGATACCGTTGTGAAGACCCAGCAGGAGATTTTGAGACAAGTGAATGAGATGAAGTAAGTACACAGCAGTCATGTGTGAGCATCTTGTCCCTTGTCCTAAAGAAGCTTGTGTGCCTGCTCTCCCGTGTCTGTCTTTCAGGAGGGTAAGCTACAAATGTCTAAATTTTAAAAGCCATTATAAGCTGAAAAGCGGGGGTAATGTGCCAGGTTTAGTGTCTTTAAAAACAAAGAGGTTTGCTGTAGTGAGTGGAGACCAGGTGAGTGCCTGTCTTTGGAAATTAGGGACTGGAGTGAGCTGTCACAGCACTGAGAAATGCTGGGGGTGGAAGGATTTACTGTGGCAGGCCTGGAAAGCAGGCATGCTTGCCAAGAACAACTTCTGAAACCACCTTCTGCCCTATGACAGGCTGGGCAGAGCTGGAATAGACAGTGTGGACAGTTGAATGACATATCTCTAGTGACAATGGCTGACTCACATAGAGAGCCAACCTTCTCAGTGTCTGTGAAGGAGGACACAGCCATGTGTGTTTTTGTAAACTAATGTGTCAGTGTTCCCACCCGGTACAACCCTTGACAGGAGGTGTCAAAGTGAGTCTTAAGGGCTGAACAATCATACAGGACCAGGTTAAACAGAAGATCAGAAGCTACAAGGACTCGATTGATGACTGGAAATTTGTGGTTTGCTCCTTAGCTTTGCATTTAAGAAACATTTTTGTTGTCGGTTCACAATTCCAAAGTGGATACTTACCTTGTTCAAATAGTTTAGCTAAATGAATAGATTTATTTTAGAAGTCTACTGGGTTCTATAATATAGTGTTTTTTATTTTGATACTATTTTTCAAAAGATTTATTTATTGATGTAGTTGGCTGGTTTTACCTATATGTATGTCCATACCGTGTGCATACAGTACCTTCAGAGACCAGAAAATGGTGTTAGATTTCATGGAACTGAGGTTAGAGATGGTTGTGAGCCATTATGGGAGCTAGGGATGAAACTCAGGCTCTCTGGAAGAGCAGCTGGTGCTCTTAACCAGAGCCATCTCTCAAGCCCCTTATTTTCTTTCTTTCTTTTTTTTTTTAACAACATAATCCAAATACTAAATTTATTATATGCAATTAGGTTTATGGAAGCTGTTCTTGAAGTTCTAAGAATCCTCTGGCATCTTTCTTTCTTTTTTTTTTTTTCCATTTTTGCCCCTTATTTTCTTGAGTTTGAACGTTAGACGCTGTAAAACTAATACATTAAGCTTCCACGTATCTTTCACCCATCTTTTAATGTTGATATTTTATATAACCAAAATGTAAGAACCAGGAAATTAACATTCATACTATATGATCAACTGAACAAATGACCTAGTGGGCCCTCCATCATTAGTAAGCTGCAGCATACGCGTGTGCACACACGCACACACACACACTGTACATATTACCCTTTCAGACCTGCTACCTCCTGCTCCCACCTCATCTGCTTATCACTAGAACCTTAAACCCACAGATAGGAAGCGAGCGTCGTGTCCTAGTCCTCTGCCTCAGTCTCCAAGTGTGGAGCTTATGGGTATGTGCTACTATGTCTGGCTTCCGGTTTTGTATTTGTTTCTTTGGAGTTTTTTTTTTGTTTTTTTTTGTTTTGTTTTGTTTTGTTTTTTTTTTTTTTTTTGGTTTTTCGAGACAGGGTTTCTCTGTAGTTTTGGAGCCTGTCCTGGAACTCCCTTTGTAGACCAGGCTGGCCTCGAACTCACAGAGATCCGCCTGCCTCTGCCTCCCGAGTGCTGGGATTAAAGGCGTGCGCCACCACTGCCCGGCTTCTTTGGAGTTTTATTTTTTTTAACAATCTGATGTGTTGAGCTTAAAAGGGGGTAACCATTTAAAATGTATAACTGGAAACAAAAAACAAAACCCTTATGATTTCAAAGGGATTTTGTGTTCCAGGAACTCCATGAGTGAAACGGTGCGGCTGGTCAGTGGCATACAGCACCCTGGTTCAGCAGGCGTCTATGAAACCACTCAGCACTTCATGGACATCAAAGAGCACCTGCATGTCGTGAAGAGAGACATCGACAGCCTGGCACAGCGCAGCATGGTAAGGTGGTTCCCTGTGCCATGGTTTTGAGCTGTGCTCATGTTCTGGCCTAACTGTCCCATAGGTTCTGAAAGCCGCTGGATTTGGGTTTCCTAGGTAGAAAGCAGAATTCCGTGTCTGCACTTGTCAATGCTTACTAGGCAAGAGCAAGCAACGAGGGTTTGGGGTATGGGATTTATATTACCAGGCGATGAAAATATTTGTACTTCCATCTTAATATCCTCTGTAATCCATGTTTTTTGAACTTGCTTGAGAATTTATACTTGTATATGAGGTAGACTTTTTCTTTTCTATTTTTTTTTTTTAGTATAATATAGTCTGATAATAGTTTCCCCTCTCTGAACTCCTCCAAGATTCTTCATTTGGTAACAAAAAATGTTCAGCTGGGGCTCTGTCTTCCCAGTTATTTGGCAAGCACATTTAGATCACCTTTGTATGTGTATATATCTTAGGAAGCTGCTACTGTGTTAGGTTTCTCTACAACCCTTCAGGGGGCCTTGTTTTAGCCGTCCCTCCTCAATTTTCCTCTCTCAACTCCTTTTCCTTCACTCTCCCCTTTTGATCCTACAGTTCCAGTGCCCCTCCCCATCCCCATCCATAAGTGTCTATTCTATTTCTTCTTCCTAGCGTGACCCAGTCCTCCCGCTTACTTCCTTACTCTGTAACCTTGATGATTGTATGACTTGTAGCCTGCTTACCAAGGACTTCACAGCTAGCATCTGTATATAAGGAAATGCCTAGCATTTTTGCCCTTTGGGGTCTAGGTTATCTCAAGATTTTTTTTTCTAAGATCCATCCATTTATCTATGAATTTCATTTTTTTAAACAACTGAGTAATATTCAACTATGTAAATATACCCCATTTTCTTTATTCATGCATACATTGACAGACATCTAGTTTGTGTTTAGTTACTGGGCACTATGTATAGAGCAGCAGTGAACATGCTTAAGAAAGTGTCCCTGTCACAGGATGTAGATCCTTTGGGTATATGCCCACGAGTGGGACAGCTGGATCTTGAAGTAGGTCTATTTCCAGCTTCCTGAGGAACCATCACACTGGTTTCCATAGTGGCTATAGAAGTTTGCACTCCCACCAGCAGTGGATAAGTGTCCCCTTACTCTATGCTCGCCAGCATAAGCTGTCATTTGTTTTATTGATCTTGGCCTTTCTGATTGGTAAAAGAAGAAATCTCAAAGTATTAACTTGCATCCTTGATAAAGGATGTTTCTTTAAGTGTTTCTCGGCCATTTGAGTTTCCTCTTTTGAGAACTCACTGTTTAGATCTGTACTCTGGTTTTTACTTGGTTTATTTCTTTTCTTGATGTCCAGTTTTTTAAGTTCTATATATATTTTAGTTATTATATTTATATATATTTAGATAGTATATTTTAGATAGCCCTCTATTGGATGTGTAGTTGGTAACAAATCTTTTCCCATTCTGTAGGCTGCTGCTTTGTCTAAATGATGGGGTCCTTTGCCAATCCTAGAAGCCACTATATGGGTGACATCTTTGTCCCTGATGTTTAATTAGCCCCTTAAAATACCTTGTCTTTTGGAGACAGAAGATGGACAGTTTTCAGAAGTCAGTCAAGTTTGCAAAGAGATTGCAAAGGCAGGAACCAAAATTCTGTTCGAGTAGTTTATTGGTAGGGTGCATGTAATTTATCATATGGACTGGAATGTTACTGAGCATGAGGTCTGCTCTATTGATTACTATGCCAGTACAGAACCTGTGAACTGGAAGCATCCAGAGCTGTAGGAGTTTGTGGGAGCCCTGTTCTCTAGAGCCTTGAAGGGCACTGAAGTCATGGTCTGTAGTGAAGCTGGGGCGGGGCAGGTGGTACCAAGTTGGCAAAGGGTCCTTCTTATGTCAGTTGCTCTTTGAAAGAAAAAGAATTTTTTAAAGATAGTAGAAGTTAAATAGGTAGAAAATATTTAGGGGAATGAGTAAATGAAATACTTCTTTATTTAACAGACTGTGCGTTGTATGCAATTGGCCCTCAGTTTGACTAACTGTAATACAGACTGTTTGCTTTGCAGCCGTCTAATGACAAACCCAAGTGCCCAGAACTGCCACCATTTCCGTCATGTTTATCCACAGTCCACTTTGTGATATTTGTAGTCGTGCAGACAGTGTTGTTCATTGGCTATATCATGTACAGGTAGGTCTCTTGATGATATTTGACCCCACATCTTTAGGGATAAAATACTTGTGGAATTAACTAGGACCTTAATGCATCTTTCACTAACAGACAATTCAGGGCAAAGCAAACTTGTTCACTAGTCTCTTGGGTGTGCATGTTTAGAGTGTGTTTATCTCAGTATTTTCTACTTCAGGGGGCATTGATAGCTTAATTTAAATAATCCTGTTTCTTTCCCAAGTTAAGTATATAGAGCATCTGTTGATTTTCCTTTTCTTTTTTTAGGACTCAGCAAGAAGCAGCTGCCAAAAAATTCTTTTGACCTTCATTTTCCTGTATGTACATCATGTATGTATGAATGTGCAAATGTTGTCTTTTTGAAGGGATTTAGTATTTAAGTTGATCCATAGTCTAAGTTATTAAATTTTGTATAAAATAACATTCATTTTTCAGTAAGAATAAATCTTCAAGACAACCACATTTTTGTTCATAGTACTACATGTCCTTACATGTCAGCGAGCTTCTGGTAGACAGAGTGCAACCACTGAAGAGAATAATGGCAGGTCAAGACATAAAACAGGGGCAGCCACTGGCTGTGGGCATTCCCTCTCCAGCTCCGCTATCGGAGGGTTCTATATTTATATAAACACTTGCCTTTTTTCCCAGAATATGAGGTCTAATCAAGAGCATGCTGTTCGTGTGACTCTTGTAACCAAAGTCATTTTTAGAAGTGAGAATTCCCAATACAAGAGTGAGTTCTAGAGTCCTTTGGTCCCAACACATCTCCCTCTGGGATCAATGATTTGTCTGAGAGCTTGAGGCTAGATGCCAGGCGTTGAAGCATTTAATGAAATGATTTCCCCCTCAATCTTGAATGTGTATTTCACTTTTAAAGAAAATTTTTGTGGGAAGTGAATAACTACTTTTTGCCTACATCGTTTAGGTGAGAACAGTCTTATGATGATGATTTTTAATGGATATTTTGCCTGTTGGTATAATCATTCATGATGGCCATTGTCTTGAATATCTTTGTTCCAATAATGTCAATTTGATATTACAGAAATAATTTTTATACTTTTAATCTGTGGAATTCATTTCTCCCAATCTGTCAAACATGTAGTTAGCTCTAATTACATGTTCTACAGCTATTTTAAATTCACAGGAGTTACAATACATTCTGGTTTATATTACTCTGGTTTGTAACTTTCAGATGTAAATTGAGGGGGCTATAGCAGAAGCAGCTCTGAGCTATTTGAAAACAAATTTGTAAAGTAAATACTTCCCTGTTTCTCCTTTAAATGCTGGCTATTAAGGATGCCGTGAAGCGTCCATTGGTGAATTAACCAGGAAACATTAGGCTTCAAGAGCTGATAGCAGCGCACAGTTAGTTGTAGGTATTTGAGGAACCACCTGTGACATTTTCAAGTGCAGATTTCACTTTTCTTTTCACAGCTGAGCTAGGACTTCTGCTGGCTTCAAGACAATTTACCTCTTATTAAAGTAATGATCTCGTTTGCTATGGGATCCAGAACAACACTGTTTAAGATATGCAACTAAATTGTTCTAAGTCTTCATAAGTTTTCCCTCAAATGCTATTTGCAGATTGGGCTAACAGCCTAAAATCTGTGTGAAGACTTTATGACGAGCACTCTGTTGTGGCACCGTGTGTGCAGTCTCGCCTTGCCTTTTCTGCTGGCGTTCCTCCTAGATCTCAGACCGTGCCCTCGCAGTGGCTGCAGAAACTGCAGCATGCGCACTTCTCTCCCCTGCAGCTGACATTCTGAAAGTCATGCTCCACAAGTGTCATCTTCCAGAATTTACTTATATTTTTAAAAAACTTTCAGGAAAACAAAAAAAGCCAAATTGTAGGCATTGGGGTATCTTCTTGAGATAAAAGGCTGCCAAAGCCAACATTACAAAGTCCACAGTCGTGTGTGCCTGAACATTAAAGGAACCCCAGATCAGGGCAGGGTACACTTTTCAGGCTCAAGTCCAGGGGAAGCGCACCGATCATTCCTGACGTGATTGCAGGTAGCCCTTGGAGCAGGAGCAGGAATCATTTACTTGTTAACTGCTTAAAAATCACTCAGCGAGATTGTTCACACAGTAAGTCTGTCTTTGTTTTCCTCAAGATCATTAAATCTGAATCTTCTGAGCAAAACCCTGCTCTGGGGGGAATTATCACTGCCAGAGTTCCTCCGTTCTGTAGTGTTCTGTGTAACTGGAATAGTTCACTTCTCACACCAGCAAGTATTTTACAGGTGCCTTGGATTAAAACAAAATTTATTTTAAAATGTTAATGTAATTTTATGATGCCACTTTTAAAAGAAATCTCAATTATGTAATTGCTGATAGATTTGTGTAATGCGCTGTTTCTGTTACAATTATTTGAATGCTTTCTTTAGCGTAAAACTTCCCATGAAGTCATAGACAATAGCAGTGTTTTGTCACGTATTGAAGGCACATCAGTGTTTTTCAGGACATGGCCTGTGGACCAGCCATTCACTTCCTGGAATGCTTACGAGGAATACAGATTCCAAGGCTCCATTCCAATCTAGCCACATCACTAATCATGTGGGGCTTCAGAGTGTCCACTCCACAGACACCACAGACATAGCACACTGACAGCTGAGAACCACTAAAATGAGGAGTAGGGAAAGGCGTATGTGTGGTGGGTCTTTGTTGGCTCGAAGCTGAGCTACCCACGTTTTCGCTGTCATTGAGATCAGCAACTCTGCTGGTTCTTCTGTGTTTGCTACTGTTTGTTTTGTTAAAGCTCTTTGCTCATCAGAAACTACAAACTAACCGCAGGTTGGTTGTTAGCTGACCTCTTGGCGCTTCAGTGATGACTTTGAACCTTGTAGAATCATCTTTGGCTCATGGCAAAGCATAAGCGTGCTCATCAGGAAGCCTGCTGGAGCTGTGGCCTTCTGATTGTCTCCAGGTTTTATCTCAGACAGCTGCACATGTGATAACTTGAGGACAATGGAAAAGACTTGAATCAGGGCTCGCTCACCTGCTGCTCTGCTGAGAATCGGTCTCTAAAGAACTGATTGGTCGCCGGGGTCTGAGGCCCTGGCAGTGTCCACGTGCTGGCTGGAGAAAGGTGATGAACAAATTAGTCATTGGGAATTTTGTATTTGTAAGATTTAGGGTGAGATCAGCTCTTGCAACATTTTTAAATCTGTATGTTGCCCGTTTTAAGATATTTCCTTTATGATGTTAAAGTTTAAAAGGGTCTTCTATCCACTGTCAGTTTCAATTATATAACATTTTGTCAAGGTTTTTTTGTTGTTGTTTGTTTCTGTTTTGCTTTTCTGATTGTTACTTGATGCTAGCTGGAATTCAGGAAATGTCAATGACCTTATTCAAATAAAAGAAATATTTTAGTAAACTGACTTTTTCCTTCATTGATATGATGTTGGGGCCTAAGTAGCTATTTTCCAAATAGGCCCTGTTTTGCAGCTGTATTTTATTTATCTGTGATCTGCACCCTGCTGTTCTGTTTCCAGTTGCCCACAAGCAGCTTTAAGAGAAGATGGGTTATTCATTCGGCTTGTAATAGCCAGCTAGAACACATCATTTTGGGGAAGTCATGGCAAGCACTTGAAGCAGCTAGTCACATTCAGTCAGGAAGATGGTGTACCCATTTTAATAATCTAACAAAATAGGCTTAAAACCAAAACTACTTGAAAAAGATAGAGAAGGATACTACATAATAATGGAAAAACTCACCAAGGGAACACTACAATTCTTTCCTTCTATGCACCAAACATAAAGACACTCCGTTCTTGAAATATTACTATAGTTTATATCACATATTGCCCCTCAAACAGTGATAAAGGAGGTGGCATCAATACCCCACTCTTGACAATAGATGGGCCATCCAGACAAAAACTAAACAGAAATGTTGGAGCTAACTGACATTATAAACCAAATGGACCTAGCAGATATTTATAGAATATTACACCCAAACACAAAAGAATATACTTTTTTCTCAGCACCTCTTCAAAATTTCTCTAAAATTTACTACATACTCAAACACAAAGTAAGGCTCAACAAATACAAGAAAATTGAAATACCTTATCTGAACACCACAGATTAAAGCTGGATATAAACAAAAATAAGAGCAAGCTTACAAACACATGGAAATTGAAAAACGCACAAATCATGAATAATGGACCAAGACAGAAATTAAGAAAGTCTTTCTAGAATGAATGAAAATGAAAACACAACATACTCAAACTTATGGGACATAATGAAGGCTGTTCTGTGAAGCAGGTTCATAGCACTAAGTGCCTACATAAATTTTTTTAATTATTTAATTAAAATAGACCTCATACTAGCAACTTAACATCATACCTGAAATGAAAGCTCTAGAACAAAAGGAAATCACACCCCAAAAGAGTTGGTAGCAAGAAATAATCAAACTGAGGCTGAAACCAATAAAATGCATATATATATATATTTATAAAGAATTAAATGAAACAAAGAATTGATTTTATGAGAAAAAGCAATATGATTAAAACACTTAACCAAATAAATTGGAAGGCAGAGAGAGAAATGACCTAAATTTAAAATATTAGAGATGAAAAAGGAGACATACAACACACACCAAGGAAATCCAGAGAATCATAAGGACATACTTTAAAAACTTCTACTTCACCCACATTGGAAAACCTAAAAGAAATGGATAATTTTTTGACATACACTTACCAAAGTTAAATCAAAATGAAATAAACAATATAAACAGACCTAAAACTGCTACCAAAATAGAAGCAGTCATTAAAAGTCTCCCAACCAGAAAAACCCCAGGACCAGATAGTTTTAGCTCAGAATTCTAACAGACTTTCAAAGAAGAGTTAATGCCAGTATTCCTCAAATTATTACACAAAATCGAAACAGTAAGAATCTTGCCCAGTTCATTTTATAGGGCCACAGTTAGACTGATACTAAGACCACATAAAGACCCAACAAATGAAGACAATTGCAGATCATGTTTCCTTAAGAGCATAGATGCAGAAATTCTCAATAAGATACTTGCAAACTGGGACTCAGTGATTAAGAGCACTGGCAGTTCTTCCAGAGGTCCTGAGTTCAATTCCCAGCAACCACATGGTGGCTCACAACCATCTGTAATGAGATCTGGTGTCTTCTTCTGGCATAAAAAGGCTACCTACAGATAAAGCACTCATACATAAAATAAATCTTAAAAAAATTTTTAAAAAAGTGCAAACTGAATCCAAGAACACATAAAAAATATTCAGCATCCTTTTCATCAGGGAAATGCAAATCAAAACTACTTTGAGATTTCATCTTATATCAGTCAGAATGGTCAAAATCAGTAAAAGACAGCTCATATTGACAAGGATATGGAGTAAGGGGACATTCATTAATTGCTGGTGGGAGTGCAAACTTGTACAGCCACTATGGAAATCAGTGTAGCGGTTCCTCAGGAAGCTGGAAATCAATCAACCTCAGGGCCCAGCTACACCACTCTTTGGCATATACCCAAGGGATGCTTCATCCTACCAGAGGGCATTTACTCAATCATGTTCATTGCTTCTCTATTCACAATAGCCAGAAATTGGAGACTTCCTAGCTATCTCTCAACAGATGAACAGATAAATATGGTACATTTACACAATGGAATATTATTCAGCTGTTAAAAAGAAATCATAAAATTCACAAGTAAATGGGTGGAACTAGAAAAAAATCACTCTGAGTGAAGTAACTCAAGACTCAGAAAGACAAATATGATATACATTCACTTATATATTAGCTGTTGAGCCCATGATAAACAAGAACATAGAACATAGAACCACAGAGATTAGGTATGGAGTAAGGGACTATAGTGGACAGATAGCTCTCCCTAGGAAAGGGAAAAAGAATAGAAAGCTATGGATGGATGGATGGATGGATGGATGGATGGATGGGGTACTGGGACGGAGGATCAAGTGTGGAGGGGTAGCTAAGAGGGGGACGAGGGAGGAAATATAGGAGCAGACAGTGAAAATTAAAGTCACTTGAGGGGTAGTATGAAAACCTAATACAGCAGAAGCTTTCTAGAATGTAAGGCCTCACAGGCCACAGTGAGGTTTAGGGACCCAGTGGCAGAAGGAGCCATGGGACCAGCAATACCTACCTGTCTGACTTTGTGCAACCTGTAGAATTTATTTCCCTTTCCTGGAGGAACAGAATATTCTCCAACCATCTCTACAAAGATCCTGCACACAGCAGAACATAGTCACTGGGTGTCAAATAAAATCACTGCTGCAATACAGCCAGTGGGAGTGTTGGCTGGGGAGCAAGTGAGAATTCCATATCCCAAAGCAAAGCGCTGGAAAGGGATATCCCATTTCCACACTGGTGAGATGACACCTAAGAGTTTTTGAAGGCTGGGTGTAAGCACACACACATACACAAAGACAGAGAGACAGAGACAGACAGAGAGACAGAGAAAGAAGGAGAAAATGTTTAACAGGCTAGTTTGGAGTTTAGAATGGATGCCTTCCTCATTAACAGTATTAATACAATGGGTTTTAATTTTCATTATTTTGGACTTTTGTTTTGCTAAGGTATAGTACCTACTCTCTGATTCAGACCCATCAGATCCAGATTGGCTGTTGGCGTAGCTCTGGGGCTTCACTCTCTGTACCTCTCACAGAGGACAGAACTTCAGCAGGCTGTCCTTTGCTATAGAAGACTAATGTGTTTGGATGTGCAATTCTTTCTAAGAGAGGATTTCTCTGCACTACACTGTAAGAGGGGAAAACCCCACAAGGTCTAAAGGTTAAGACTTAGAATTTACAGCCTTAGAGGCTCTGTGAGACCCCTCAGGGAGATTAAATACATAGCTCACCTTTAGCAGGAGTTTAGAGATAGTGCTTGAGTGTGCTAAGTTCCCAGCAACCTCTCTGAAAACAAAAGTGGGGGCAAGGATTAATACTTGTCTTCAATGAATTTCTAATTCACTCCACATCTGTTTTGGTCTTTAATGCCGAAGCTATTTGAGCAGCATTTAAAACAGATTAGTAGAAGGGAAAATAGTCTGTGAAATATATACAGTAAACATGTTAAAAAAAAAAAACCACTAAAACCCAGGTTATCTATTTCTGTGTCTCTTAGGAGGAGTGGCCTATGTCTGGAGGATTGTTCCTGCTGAGAAAATAATGAGCATTAATTACAAATAAGGCTCCTGTCCATCCCCCTCCCCAGCTCTTTAACCAGAAACGTTTGAACATAGATTAAAGCAGTGCTTCTCAACCTTCCTAATGCTGCGACCCTTTAATACAGTTCTTCATGTGGTAACTCCCAACCATAAAATTATTTTTGTTGCTACTTCATAACTGTCAATTTGCTACTGTTATGAATCGTAATGTAAATACCTGATGTGCAGGACATCTGATATGTGACCCCTGTGTGAAAGGGTCTTCTTCCAACCCCCCCCACCCCCCATAGGGGTCATGACCCCCAGGTTGAGAACTGCTAGAGTCATGGCTTAGCTGAAGAAAGCCATAGCCAGAGAGAATACACTGTTACAACACAGTGAGGAGGCTGTAGCCGAGCTAAAGCACAGCACCCAGGAAGAGCGCTGTGTGCAAAGGATAAAGAATGGCAATGCATACCGAGGGCTTGACTCACCGGGAGTCCTGTCTCTTAGAGTGTCAAAGCCAGCTTCTCGGGAAGGTGAATGGCACTTCCATACAGCAGAAGAAGCTAAGCAACTCTCCCTGGGTGAACTAAAGACCATGGCTCACCCCTTGAACTCTCTTGCCTGGTTTGTGTATTCTGTGTGAGACACCATTCCCAGTGAAGTGGGACCAAACTGAATGGAACCCCAAAGCAATGCTTGCCTGAGACTTAGAGTCCCGTGAGATCAGATGTGGATCAAAAGCGTTATTTTTGCTTAATAAAGCATTCTGGGGTTTGAATCTCACTGGACTGTCTCCAACAGGATGCTGTACTCCAGGGCTGGGATGTGGAAATTCCACGGCAGCCATCTAATCACTTGGCTCCAATTAATATAATTGAAATGGGCCTCTTGATGAAGCCCTGTTGTCTATATAATTTGAACTTTAGGGAATGAGAATGTTGCTCAAAGTCAGTATTCTGGCCTGACACATGCTAGGTCCTGCGCTCAATCTCCATCTCTGGCCAAAATAATAATAATAATAAATTTAGATGCCTAAGGAAAGCAGAGCAGGGAATGGTGGGGTTTCTGCCCCATAAAATTAGCTGAGTGTATTAATCATAAGGCAGAAGGTTGAATCTGACTGCGGGTTTTAGTAATCGGAACCATCTGCCTCTACGCTAAGAGTTCACCCTCTAATCCAGCTTACGGCTAGTAAAAGCCCTCTCTCTACCACTGTGCCCTTGGACAGAGAAGGCTGC